TAGTTTTGCCAGTTTTTTTTTTTTTTTTTAATTCTGATTAAATCCTGATGATTCTTGTTATTCTAATATAAAAATGTTACTGTAATTTTTATGTATGTATGTATGTATTTATTTACTTTTTTATGTATATAGATCAACATAACTTACAGGTAGCACAACAAATACTACCATGATAAATATAAATACTTTATGATTTAATTAATATATATGTACTGTATTGTAAGAGTTTGAGGAGGAAATGTGTTAAAATAAGCTTCATTTAAAATAAATTCAAATAATAAAAAGTAATAAATAATATTAAAAAAAGCTTCATTTTATTTAAGAAAAATATAAATTAATTTATTAATTTAATATAAATATATTAATATAATAATAATAAACATATATTTATATATTAATATACTAAATAATATTATTATTAAGTACAAAAACAACAACAACAACAATAATAATAATAATTATTATTATTGTTATTATTACAGTTCCATCTAATAAATGTCTGCTGCAATTATACTTTATGCAGAAATACCTATGAATGCTAATGGAATCATTTTGCATTCCTGTAACACAACCATTGAGACTCATTTTCTCTCTCTATTTGGACCAGGTTTCAAAAGTTGGAGAAATGGAGAAAGCCATTTTACGACGTTCTGCGGAATTACGAGAACTCCTCTGTGGTTTTGCCGGCGTTCTATAACACACGGAACACAGACGTGTCGTTCCGCGTGAAGTACATGCTGGATGACTTCGAGTCGGCCCGCGGCGTGTTCTTCTTCCACCCGCAGTACCTGCTGAATGTGCAGCGCTTCTGGGCCGTGCAGGGCGTCCGCGCCAAACGCCTCAGCAGCGGCCTGATGCTGGTCACCGCCGCCATGGAGTTATGCGAACAAGTGCATCTCTACGGCTTCTGGGCATTTCCCATGAACCCCTCCGGAATCTTCATAACACACCATTACTATGACAATGTCAAGCCCCGCCCCGGTTTCCACGCCATGCCGTATGAGATCTTCAACTTCATGCACATGCACGCTCGCGGCATCGTGCACGTGCACACGGGCCCCTGCAGGTGAAACGTCCAAGCGTCTCTGCAATCTGATTGGTCCGTTTTGTAGAGCTCCTCCCATTCACTGGCGCTACGGAACTCAGACTTATGTGCGTGTGCGCGAATCGCTGCCTTAAAGGCCAGGCGTTTTATTACTACGTGTTTTTTCAATATCGTGTCGGGACAGTTGCAAAATGGTACGTGTTTCCTGTTTGGTGATTTTCCGTAATGGTGTAGTATTTGTGTATCAGAGCAGATATCACGTTTTAAACTTTGTGAGGAGGTGCCAAACCAGGCGCGACACAATAAAGCGCAACAATCGGGTTCTGGAAGTAAAAATTCATTCATTTTCTCCATAGGAAATTGATTTTTAATGGTAAAACTTTTAAGACAGACTTGTTGTGAGCGCTGAGGTTATTAATCGATGGTAAATGCTTTTGTTGAAGCCATCTGTTCACATTAATTCAACTTATTTCTAAAATAATCATGTTTAAAGATGCTGTATGTCATTTTTTGACTACTAAAACAAAAATACCATGTTATAAACATGCTAAGTTCACGTGTTTCTCTGAAAAACAATGCTACGGCCAGTTATTCTACTTTGAAATGTGCGTTCCTTGTCAGAATGTCTGTTTTTGTTTTGGTC